CCTGAGTTCAAGCCCAGTACCCACCAAAAAAGAGTCAACATGGAAGACCCTTAAAAACTACTTATCCAGAGCCCTTCATCAATGGACTCCCAAAATCTGTATGTAGAGTTTTGGTGATAAGGGTGTAGCCAGGGCTGGGTTTATACTCCCAGTTATTCTCAGCCTGCCCAGTGCTGGGTCTATACTCATGTACCACTATACCCAGCCCTCAGTGTGCTTACTGCACATCAGGAACTGAGTGAAGCCTTTATTCATGACTCCATTACTGCGCGTGATCACCTCCAACATGAATGATTTCCACTCCCTCCCTCTCCCCTCACTCCCTCCCAGGCACCCCAATTGATCCTACCTTCTTCCTGAGCCGCACGGTGTCCAATGTCATCAGTTCTGTGGTCTTCGGAAACCGTTTTGACTATGAAGACAAGCAGTTCCTGAGCCTTCTGGGGATGATTAATGAGACTTTCATTGAGATGAGTGTGCCCTGGGCCCAGGTAACCATGGGGAGTCACTTTCCTTGCCCCTTCCCCTGGGTCTCCAACTCTGACATGCACCAGTGACTCATGCCTGTCATCTTAGCTACTCTCAGGAGGCTGAGATCTGAGGATCATGGTTCAAAGCCAGCCTGGGCAGAAAAGTCCATGAGCCTCTTATCTCCAATAAACCACTAGAAAATCGGAAATGGCACTGAGGCTCAAGCAGTAGAGTGCTCGACTTGAGCTGAAGTGTGCAGGGATAGTGCCTAGGCCCAGAGTTCGAACCCCACACCTGACAAAAAAGAAAAAAAGAAATTGAGAAGCTGTGTTCTGATTCAAAGTGGTAGGGTCTTGAGCACAAAGAGGCTCAGGGACAGTGCCCAGGCCCCGAATTCAAAACCCATGAATGACAAAAATCAATCAATCAATCAATCAATCACTATAGGTCACCCCAAATTCTCAACCCCAACTCTCTCCTGACCCCAGACTCAGGCCACCTGGTTGGTTCCCCTGGCCCCTGGATCCTATGGCCAACACATCTCTGTCACTTGTGTCCACAGCTGTATGACATGTATTCGGGAGTCATGCAGTATTTGCCCGGAAGACACAATCACATCTATGACTTGATAGAAGACCTTAAGGCCTTTGTAGCGTCCAGAGTCAAGGTCAATGAAGCCACACTTGACCTCCAAAACCCTCGCGATTTCATCGACTGCTTCCTTATAAAGATGCACCAGGTACAGGCTTCCCCTGTAGACTCATCTCCAATGAACCACCAAAATAAAATCCGGAAGTGGTGCTTTGGCTCAGATGGTAGAGGGCTGGCCTTGAACAAAACAGCAAAGGGACAGCACCCAAGCCCTGAGTTCAAGCCCCAGGACTGATAAACACACACACACACACACACACACACAGACACACACACACACACATACACAAATCTGCCTTGTACATGGGTGGAGGGGAACCCCAACAACACAGAGGCAGAAGAAGGTAATCCTATTCACGATCTCCTTCTCTCCCAGGATAAAAAAGATCCACACACAGAATTCAACCTCAGGAATTTGGTGCTCACCACCCTCAATCTCTTCTTTGCTGGCACAGAAACAGTGAGCTCGACCCTACGCTATGGAATGTTGCTCTTAATGAAATATCCTCAGGTAGAAGGTGAGCTGAGCTGGCATCTCCCACTCCTCTGACAGGAAGAAAGGAAGATACCATCTTGAAAGGGCAAGATATACCAGGCACTGGTGGCTCATACCTGTCATCCTAGCTATGGAGGCTGAGATCCGATGATCATGGTTCAAAGCCAGCCTGGGCAGAAAAGTCTGTGAGACTCTTATCTCAATAAACCAGCAAAAATGCTAGAAGTCAGAGCTGGGTAGGTGGTTCAGTGGTAAAGCGCTTGCCTTGCATGCATAAGGCCCTGGATTCAATTCCTCAGCACCACATAAGCAAAAAGAAAAAAGCTGGAAGTGGCTCTGTGGCTCAAGTGGTAGAGCGCTAGCCTTGAGGTGAAGAGCTGAGGGACAGCGCCCAGGCCCAGAGTTCAGGCCCCATGACTGGACCCGCCCCCCCAAAAATGCTAGAAGTGAAGCTGTGGGTCAAGTGGCAGAGATCTAGCTTTGAGTGGAAAAACTCAGAGTGTGACCAGGCCCTGAGTTCAAGCCCCAGTACCAACACAAAAAACTAACAAAATAAAACAAACAAAGCACACAAGGCTTTTATCTTCAGAGGTGAACAATAATTTGTAATGGAGATAAAGCAATCTCTCCATCTAAGGATTTATAACTCTATGGTATTTGCAAAATCCAGACCAGCATCTGCCTTAGCTACTCTGACAGAAACACCTGCTGCCCTTTCTTGCCTTCTTTTGCTCAAAGCTAGCGCTCTACCTCTTGTGCCACATCACCATTTCCAGCCTTTACTGTTTATGTGGTACCCAGGGCTTCATGCAGGCTAGGCAAGCACTCTACCCCTAAGCCATATTCCCAACCCTTTCCTGCCTTCTTTTGTGAAATGTCTTCCTGGATTCTTCCAGCTAAGATCCAGGAAGAGATTATCCAGGTGATCGGACCACACCGGATTCCCACAGTGGATGACCGCCTCAAGATGCCCTACACGGATGCAGTCATCCATGAGATCCAGAGACTGACGGACATCGTGCCCCTGGGAGTCCCCCATACCGTCATCCGGGACACTCACTTCCGAGGCTACTTTCTGCCCAAGGTGATAGTTTTCACTGTCACCTCTTTATCTTCTCCATGCCCCCCCTCTTTCTCTCTCACACACAATGCTCCTTATTCAACACTGACTTTTTCTTAATTCCCTCTATCTTCTCACCAGGGCACAGATGTCTATCCACTACTTGGCTCTGTCCTCAGAGACCCCAAATACTTCCAACACCCAAATGACTTTTATCCTCAGCACTTCTTGGATGCACAGGGACGCTTCAAGAAGAATGATGCCTTTGTGGCCTTTTCTTCTGGTAAGTTCCCATGGTCTATGAAACTCCCCCCAATAAAAACTAGAGCCATCTCTTCAAGTCCACATCAGAATGGGAAGCAAACGGCTATGTCACAGAATCATTAAATCCTAGAATCCCAGAATCAAAATCTGAATGACTGACTCCATGATTAGGGGAAAAAAATGGTAGCTCTGGGCATGGTGGTGCATGCTTGTAATCCCAGCATTTGAATAGTTGAGGAAAGAAGATGGAGAGTTCCACTGTAGAACAACAGTACCACTGGACAAGGCCTCAACAGATTTCTTTCCATTAAGAAACAAATTTAACACAGGGGCTGGTGGCTCAAGCCTGTCATCCTAGCTACTCAGTAGGCTGAGATCTGAGGCACACAGTTCAAAGCCAGCACACGTAGAAAAATCCATTATACTCTTATCTCCAATAATCCACCCAAAAGCTGGAAGTGGTAGAGTGCTAGTACTCTATCACTCTATTCAAGCGGTGGAATGTTAGCCTCAAGGTGTGTGTGGGGAGTTCAAGCCCCAGGACTGGCACCAAAAGAAAAGAAAAAAAATCCCTAGACCCTGTTCAGCCCTCCCACCTCTTCTGTACCCTTAGGAAAGCGGATCTGCGTTGGGGAGGCCCTGGCCCGCATGGAACTCTTCCTCTACTTCACCTCCATTCTTCAGAACTTCTCCTTACGCTCACTGGTGCCACCTGCTGACATTGATATCACCCCCAGAATTTCAGGCTTTGGCAACATCCCCCCAGTGTATAAGCTCTGCCTGGTGGCCCGCTGAGTGGTCCCTCCTAGGCCAATAAGAACCTTCCTGTTGCACAGAGTCCATGTCTCCTCCTTCTCCTCTTCATCCACCAATAAAGAACCTCCTATTTGTACTGGCCCCATCTCAACTCCTCTTACTCTTCCTCTTCCTCCTCTTCCTTCTGCTTGTCTTCCTCTTCTCAATATCACACTAAGAGTTGGCACTCTCTCTATTTTCTCTCAGGCTTACGGTCAGGAAGAGTCATCTACAAACACACAGCTGGATATTTTATTCAGGAGGAGAAAACATTAAAAAAAATCTATGCCCTGTCCAAGATTTTGTGAGTTAACACAAACTCCATCCCCTTCTTGCCTTGAAGTCTGCCTACACCAAACTCTGGTACTTTTTTTTCTCTACATCTTTATGTTGTCTCTTTATTTTCCTTTTCTTTTCTGTCATGGATGTTACCAAAATGTATCCATTTCTCCTGTATTTCCATCTTCCTTCTCCCTCCTCCCTCAATAAAGTCAACACCAAACTCAAGACTTTTAAATGTAAGTAAGTTTATTGTGCATCGTGCAAACACTCAGATTAACTATGCTAACAACTTGAAATTGAGAAAGGAAAATGAAGAGCACAAAGAAGGGGGAGAGTAAAAAAAAGTAAAATATAGAGACAAGAGCTCTGGGCTCACAAGAAAACCCCAACGAGAACTGAAAATGACCCCATGAAGGTCCTGGACCTTCAAAAAACCTAGGTGAAAATGTCACTAACAGCCAGGTGCTGGTGGCTCACACTTGTAGTTCAGCTACTCAGGAGGCTGAGATCTGAGAATCATGGTTCAAAGTCATCCCAAGCAGGAAAGTCCATGATGGTCTTATCTCCAATGAAGCACTGAAAAGCTTGAAATAGAGCTGTGGCTCAAATGGTAGAGTGCCAATCTTCAGCACAAAAGCTCAGGGACTGTGTCCAGGCCCTGAGTTCAAGCACTAAGACCTCAGGGACAGTGTGTAGGTCCTGAATTCAAGCCCCAAACTGGCACACACACACACAGACACACACACACAGACACACACACACAAATGACACTAACAATATCATCAGGCTTGATCTTTATTTTCACACTTCTGCATAGTGTGTGTGTGTGTGTGTGTGTGTGTGTGTGTGTCCTGGGGCTTGAACTCCTTTTCCCTTTTGTGCCCACAGTTAGCCCCTACTACTTGAGCCACAACTTCACTTCCAGCTTTTTGGTGGTTCATTGGAGATAAGAATCTCAGGGGGTTTCTTGTCCAGCTTGGCTTCATCAAACTGGGACATTCAGAACTCAGCCTCCTGAGTAGCTCGGATTATGGGTGTGAGTTACCAGTGTTGGTCTATTGGCTCTTTTTATTCTTTTATATTTTTTGAAAGCTTGCTTTAGTATTTACTAAGAGTACAAGAAAGGGGGAAATTGATATGAAAAGTCCATGGCTGGGCTGGGAATGTGGCTTAGTGGTAGAGTGCTTGCCTAGCATGCATGAAGCCCTGGGTTCGATTCCTCAGTACCACATGAACAGAAAAAGCTGGAGGTGGGCCTGTGGCTCAAGTGGTTGAGTACTAGCCTTGAGCAAAAGAAGCTCAGGGACAGTGCCCAGGCCCTTAGTTTGAGCCCTAGGACTGGCAAAAAGAATAAAGAAAAAGAAAAAAAGAAAGGTCCATGGCTGCATATGTCTTTGGATGGGGAAATCTTCCAGGCTGGGTAGTAACTGTGGTTTCAAATCTGTGTTGGGCCAAGGTTAGATGCTGGGCTCTGAGGCTGGCCTGAGGTCTCTGGGGTTGATACTGGGCCCCAACAGGGTGGGAAGGGCAGAAACTTTGCTCCACTCATATGTATAGAACCTGCCCATCTGCTTTCTTCTGGGCCTAGGAGACAGGCTTTAGAAGAACACAGGTCTGGTGTAGCCATTGATTGGTGGCTGGGGATGAGTAGGATGGTGGCTCATGACTTCCATGAATAATTGCCTGTCTGCCCAGAGCAGACTCCAAAAGGAGGGAGCATCAAGGCTTATTTTGATCATCTGTTGGATGCTGAGTTCGGGCAGGTCCCCATTCTCCTTCTGCAAGCGAATCATTTGTGTGTAATTTCTGGGCAGGAACCATTCTGGTAAATACATGTATTAGTTATCCAAACAACCAGACAGAGGAAGAAAAAAAAGACACTTTCTTCTCTTCCTTGGTTTTCTCCTTCATGACATTTCGCTAACCTTACTCCCCACTACAAACTCTCAGAAAGAAAGCACCCCACCGAAACGCTCAGAAACACAAATATTTTCAATATTCTAGTCACAACCTCTTAATCCCCAGCCTCACCTTCCTCTTCCCTGGCCTGGTTGGCCTGGCACTACCTGATTGCTTGGAACTTTGGTTAAGATTGCAGAGAACATAAACAGTAGGTGGAAGATCAAATCTCTTTCCTCTTAAGAGACACGTGCATGCATGTGTGCACTGAATCTGGGGCTTGAACAAGGGGCTTGGCATTGTCCCTGAATTTTTGTGTACAAGACTGATGCTCTACCACTAGAACCACAGCTATACTTCTGACTTGATAGATAAGGATCTCAACAAAATTTCTTGCCTGGCTGGCTTTGAACTGTGATCCTCAGATCTCAGCCTCCCGAGGAACTTGGATTATAGGCGTGAGCCACTGATGCCCAACCTTAAGAAACATTTTTAAAATCTTTTTTTTTTTCAGCGCTGAGGACTGAACTCAGGGTCTTTTTACTTGTCAGTCAGTGCTCTTCCACTGAGTTAAATCCCCACTTTCAGGTTTACAAGGATTCCGCCCTGCCCCCCCCCCCAAGAACTACAGGAAATAAAGTAACAAAAATAGAAAAGAAGGCCAGGCATGGGTTTTATTTTACTCAGTAGACACTATGTAGAAAATGAACTGTGCAATTAGTGGGGCAGGGACTGGAACAGGGAACTAGGGGAAAGCAAAGGAAGAGTGACATTGTCCCAACAACAAATATAGTCATCACCTGACTTATGGAAAGGTGACCCCCTGTACAACACCTTCATAATATCAACAAAATTATATTAACAATAAACGAGAAGTCCTCATCTTCCAACTCTTGTAGTATCTGCCTAATTTTCCTTCCCTACTCTCACATGAGTTTAGAAACGTGGCGGAGGTGTCTGGGGTTTTCCCCTGGTTTAATGTTTTTATTCACAGCTTATTCAGGGCCATCTCCTGGTGTTTCATACAGAAAAACAAGCAAGGCTGGGTGATCAGGAGTGGTAGATAAGAACATGGAATGTAGCAGGGTACCAGTGCTCATGCCTGTAATACCCTTTCCTCACGAGTCTGAGATCTGAGGATCTCAGTTGAAAGCCAACCTAGGCAATCCAAGAGACTGACTCTGATTTCTAATTAGCCACCAAAATGCTCAAAGCAGAGGTGTAGCTCAAGGGGTAGAGAACCAGCTTTGGGG